GCCCTGCCCAGTGCTCTGGCTCCCTTCTCCATGAGGAGATGGCCCTTTGGAGCTGTCCTTGACGCGGCTGCAGCTGGGTCAAGCAGACCTTTGAGGAGGCCGACAAGAACGGGGACGGGCTGCTGAACATCGAGGAGATCCACCAGCTCATGCACAAGCTCAACGTCAACCTGCCCCGCAGGAAGGTCCGCCAGATGTTCCAGGTGGGTGGCTGTGGGAGGGTTGTGCCACCCTTGGTCTGTTCCTGGGCAGATCCAGAGCAGGGGCTGCAGGCTGGGACTTAAAACTCTGTCCTTTCCAGCACCTCCCAGGCTTTTGCCAAGTCTCACCTTCCTGTAGACAGAGGTGCATCAGAACATTGTTTAAGTGACATGAACCATGTAAAAGACAATCCATCAATATTAGTCTTTCAGCTGCACTCTTGTTTCTGTCTCCGTGGACTGAACTGTTCTGTGCTGGCATTGATGGACGATGGAGTTACTCTGTTGCTATTGAAATCTTTTTTCATTTCCTTTATGGAAAATTATTTAATATAAACTGGTTTTATGAAAGTAATTAGGGTTTTTTTAACAACTTCCTCATACTTAGCCAGAATCAATTTTTGACTTCTGTTGTCTGGAAACAGTTCCCATTTTCACCAGCCCTTGTGTTTACTGTAGGAAAGGAAAGACAAGCCAAGGACATAAAGGAGAGCAAAAGGAAGTTTTGCTGTTTTCCAAACCAGTACCAGCCAAAAGCTGATTTACTGTAAAACATGAAGAATTTTCCCTGGCCAAAAATCCTTTGTTTGTCTGACATAAAATCCACATTAGAGATGTGTCTTTGGAGCACTGAGTTACTCCCCAAAGAGTTGAAGTGTGGAAACTGGTGGGGTTGTGTTGTGGAGATGAATTCAGGTGGTACTTGTTTTCACAAATTATAAATGTCATTTAAGATATGTAGTCGATAAAAATTATTAAAAACCCCATTCAGCACCAGATACCTGGGAATTATTTCCTTCTCAGCTGACTTGCTGTGATGGGAGTTGGTGTTTTGGCCGGCAGTGGCACTAAGGAGGTGCAGTGAAAGGCAGCAGGGGCAGAGTTGTGAGGCCAAGTCCTGAGAGGGGAAAAAAAAGTAGTTCTGTCTGCACTTCCAGACTGTGCAGGGATGAAGTCGGGCACTGCTCCTGAGAAGTGGTGGCAGGATGAGGATGCTGTGCAGCTGAAGATCTTGTATTTGTGTCGCTGTGGGGACAAACCAAGGGGGTCAGAGCCAAGCAAGTGTTGGAAGGGTTCCGACCCGAGTGGGTACCTGACTGGGGAATGGCAAGGGGGGTAGAGTACAGAGAAACACCCCCCAGTATACAGCTCTGAACGAAGGACATGGTTCAGAGCAACAGCAGCACATTTCAGATTTCAGTTTGCCTCCGTTATCTGCCACAGCCCAAAACTTACCCAGGTTGTAGCTTCCTTGAAGTTCTTTTTTCATGGAGACCTACTTAGTGCTTGCCTAGAATATATTCTTTGTTTTGAAAATCCAAAGCAATCCTCTTAGGCAGATGTTCACAGGAAAAAGCTTGTATTAGTGTGTGTTAAGTACTGTTTTCTTCCTACCTCTGAGGAGAGACAAAAAAAAAAGACTGAAGATGTTCGGTGTATATTTTGGTGTGGAGTCTTGTTGCTGCTGCAGACTTGTCCTCTCTGCAGAGTGTGAGGGGCTGAAGTGTTGCAGATTAAATTGAAGTGTGTTTAAAACTGTGATATTGTCCTGAATGTTTTAAAATGTCAGACAGTTGTTAGGGAAGCCACGGGGTGACATTATTATGCTCCTTGCTATGTTTTAATCCAGGATAACTGCAGGGCATACAGGAGGGCAGCAGATCAGAGTAAAGCCCAGGGTGAGCCTCTTTACAGAGAAAATGAATTCAAAACTAAAGAGGGAAATTAGAGTTTCATAGGGAATCTGTGGCTTTAGTGTAACAACTGTTTTCACCAAAAATCCAATAGAGGATGATTTAATTTTGCACTTGTTTTACTGTTAGGACTGAGTCCGAACAGATCCTTGCGGACTAGAATTTATTACATTTCTGTTGGTGTACACAAGTCCTGTTCTGTTTCATTCCCCAAAGTCACTTGTGTTCACCACGCTGACCTGAGTGTCTGTACCCCTTAGGAAGCAGACACGGATGAGAACCAAGGAACCCTGAACTTTGAAGAGTTTTCGGTGTTTTACAAGATGATGTCCTTACGTCGGGACCTCTACTTGCTGCTCTTAAGCTACAGTGACAAGAAGGATCATCTCACTGCTGAGGAACTGGCTCAGTTCCTGAAGGTGGAACAAAAGGTATGGGAATACTTTACATCCATTTGTTGTATGTACATATAAGTACATTCAGGTATAGGGAAAGAGTATTATGGAAAAGTTTAGCTTGAGGCAGAGCACAAAGCACAGATGGAACAGAAAAAAAAAATAATCTGAAGTCTTTATTGTTTTTTAAAATCCTTGTAGAAAGAGTTTGAACTTCTTTGGACAATTTTTGCAGTGCCCTGGATAGTGGCATGGAGGGCACTCAGGGACCCGGAGCAGGAAGAAGATGTGAGAGAGGCAGAGGAGCTGGCTTTGGGGTGCACAAGGACATGATGAAGCTCCTGGTGCAGCAGCAAGGCCAGGGTGACACTCTGCAGTCAGGTGTGGCACTCTGCATCCTCTGTCTGCCCCTCCTCAGTAACACAGGTGGGCAGGGCTGCCTGATGGAACTCAGCATTGCTTCAAGCCCCAGCTGAGCTCCTGGAGGAAGCTCCTGGCTGTGTAGTTCAGCAGCTCCTGGCTGTGTAGTTCAGCAGCTCCTGGCTGTGTAGTTCAGCAGCTCCTGGCTCTGTAGTTCAGCAGCTCCTTGCACTGCCTCTGCCTCTCCCACTCCCCAGCACCAACAGCACGAGGGAGACCCAGCCTTTGATGTCCCCAGTGCCAACCCCATCCTCGTCTGGGGCAGCACTGCTTCCACAAGCTGAAAATGCTTCCAATCATAATGGAGCTCCCCACTGCCTTCAACCAAACGGCATTTTGGTTTTGCTCCTGTCTGCCTGCTTGGAAATCTGCAGACAGTCTGTCCTGCTCCATCTGCCACTCGTTTGGCAAGACTTTTAAATGTTCTGCAGCCTGAGGATAGAACAAAAGCGGGTTGGGTGCTTTGTTAGCTTGCTAAACTGGCTTCTTTTTTTAGGAGAACTCCCTGTTGCCTTCACCCCAGGGCTTGTGAAACAGATTATTTCCACTTAGGTGCAGTTAAATTCAGCTCCTTGCTACTGAGACTGCAATTATATGGCTTCAAATGTCAGAGGGGCAGAGAGCAGACTGGTTTCCTGGGGTGACCTCTGCTCCTGCAGTTCCCTCAGGGGCTGTGAGGGAGGAACATCCCTGGATGTCCAGTCACATCTGTGTGCCTGAGCGTTGTCCCTTTGGGAGTGCCCTTCATTAATTAGCCAGTGCCCTCGTCAGAGCTGGTGCTCCCCACAAGCTGGTGTCCTGCTCCAGGACACGTGGCTCCCACAGCAGCATCTCCAGGCTCTGCTCATGACGCAGCCTGTCTCCTCGCTGTTTTTGAGGAGGGGGGCTGAGCTGAGACAGGCTTTACAAAGACCCTCTTCCCTGACAAAGGGCAGCTTTGCAGTTTCTTGCCCCCCTGAATCTGCCCCATGAGGGAATGACCCCGTTGTGCCCCGGTCCTGGGTGCCCTGAGTGGAGCTGCCCTGTGTCTGCTTCCTTGCTTGTCTGTCCTTCCCCCCTTTCTGCTGCAGCCAGACCACAGCAAGTGCTTTCATTTCAGTCACAGCAGGGACCCCTCTGACTGGTGCTGACAGCTTTATGGCAGTAAAAGGCTGTTTGAGTGTTGCAAACCTGCCGTGTTTGGCTCTGGTTGTGTGAGGGGGAGGCTCCCTGGGCCCTCTCCCACCTGCTGCCCTGCCACGGATGAGCTGCTTTGCAGTCCAGTTTTCATCTGGCCTGAGACGAAGGACAGCCCTCTGAGCTGTGGCCCAGCAGCCCTGGCTGGGCTCCAGGGCAGGGCTGCAGGTTGGGAAATGTCCCTGGTGTGCTCGAGTGACAGGGACCATGTGAAAATGTCAGTCCCACAGCAGCACCCTGCTACCAAAGCACTTTCCTCTGGGGTTTTATGCAGCTCAGAGGAGGCTGGTGGCAAAAATTAATGCCCCTGCTCCTTTTAATTGAACTGCAGAGGAAGTGATTTTAAAACAATCAGAACATGCACGTGTAATTATGCAAAACTCAGTTGTTCACCATGAACACTCAGCTGTGCCTTTGAGTTGAGCCTGCTTGAGACAGTAAGTTTAGTCCTGCACTGCTTGTACTGTGTCACAGGAACAACCAGGGACTAGGGAATAGTGAAAATGGGACAACAAGTGGTAGGAAGTGGAGATTAAGAACAATTAATGTTTTGGAACTACTCTACCTGCTCTCTTGGAAGAAGTTTTAAAGGAGTATAATGGGACAGTTCCCTGTGGCAGGGAATGTTTTCTGTGTTTGGCTGGGAGCTGAAAGGCTGGCAGGATTGAGCAGCAGAGGGATAGTATCACATTCTCAATGTTGGTGGCTGGGCTTTGGAAGAGGAGAGCCTGTGGAGCTGGCTCCAATAGCAGACAGGGAAGACAATACCAGTCATTTCCTCCTCTTTCCATACTTGTACAGTGAGGGTGAGGGAGGATGCTGAGCCCTGCTTTCCCTCTGCAAGAGAAATAACAGAGGGAAGGGTGAAGGGGAGAAAGGCTGGAAAAGATCTCCAAGTTTTTCAGCCTGAGTCAGCACGTGGGTGGAACTGCTTCACTTGTCCTCTCTCACTGTCCTTCTGATGGTGACCTGTCTGGTTTGTCCCCTCCTCTGGTGATTTTTCATACTTAGGCTGCAGCCTTTGGGGTGTTATGAGATACGATCAGTCCCACATTTCTGAGGAGGAACTCAGCACCTGGCAGGATCAGGCCCATGGAGAAGACCAGTCAAGCTACTCCCAGATTTCCTGACAGCTGAATGCTGGGAATACTGAGCTCCAGGAAATAGTGGAAAGCACAGATTCATCCAAGGCTATGGAGCAGAGTAAATGGAATGGGTTTGGCTGTCTGAAAGAGAAGCCCATTAATAAGAGAACAGTTCACAGAGGGACTCTTTCTGGATTTAAACAGTAAATAGTGGGTAATTTTCATGGTGACTAACCCCAGTGCTGCCCTTGCCTGGAGCAGTGATGTTAACAGAGGGCACTGCCTGTTCCCGTGCTTCCAGCCTGCTCCACGAGTCAGGGATCCCAGCTGCTTTGGCAGAGGAGGCAGAGCACAGGCAGTGAGCAGAGTGGTGGTACAAACACCCTGCCAAAGGTTGGAGTGCCAGTGTTGTCTTCCTGGGATTTGGCAGTGGAGGAACTGAAATACACCCCCTGAAGGGGGATGAGAAGGGATGAGATGAGTGATGGAAGATGCTTCTTCCCTTGAATTTTAAAGGAAATATGAGTGTCACCTTATAAGTGCCCCACAAGTCAGATAGGACTTCAGCTGTGGGCTGGTTGAAGCTGTTGACAAAACTTGTGTTTGTTTCAGAAGAACTGCTGATTTTCATTTCAGAATTTAATTATTTCTCTCCTAGCCTGTGTATTATAGTGAACTCTCTTGGAAGTAATGAAATCACAGGAGTGGAAAAACGCATGAAAATGTAATCAAACCCTGCCAAATCTTTTTGCATGTCTAAGAAGATTATATTAAAGAATAAAACTTCATAGTTCTCATTTCAGCAGTATTGCCAGTACAACTATTAAGGGTGCTAAACAGCTAATTTTCATCTTTAAAGTAAAATGGCACAGGTTTTACTTTTACTTCCATTCCTATTTTTCTCCTCTAAGTTCAGAGGCAAGAGGCTTGTGCAGCACTGACAAAAATAAAAACTTCAAATTCCTTTCTAGTAGTGCTATTGATTGGCCTACTCACTGAACTCAGTTTGATCATAAGGTTCTTCGACTGGACCTAGAAGTCTAAACCCAGAATTTCACATGCTGGTGACGTGGTATTAAAAATAAATGCACCAACACTGTTGTTTTTGTGCAGATGAATAATGTGACACCAGAATATTGTTTGGACATCATACAGAAGTTTGAAGTGTCAGAAGAAAACAAGAAGCAAAATGTTCTTGGGATTGAAGGTAAAAGTTTTGATTTCTGAATGAGTTTGCCTTGGTACACTGTGGTGCACTACAAGTGCTTTAGTGGTGTGCTGGTGCAGCTCCTCCTGTTTGGCTGGCACAGAACATCCCATCAATCAGTCGGGAGCGGGGGTGGGCTTTGGGAGCCATGAGGGAGGTGTGAGCAGGGGAGCTGAAGCAGCAGCCATCCATCACAGCCATCCTACAGGAGTGGGGGGTGCCTGAGGCTGGGTGGGTTTATTGCTCACTGTGTGTGTAAAGCACAAGCCATCCCGTGTAGTTTATCTGCAGCTGCTCCAGTGAGAGCCAAGTGTTCATTCTGCCCTGTCTCTGTAATCTGTGCTCCTGCACAATCCACTGATTTATGCTGATTATGTGAAATAAAAATTGGAAAATTGCACTTCCATTGGGTTTTAACGCCTTACGTTGTTTGTGAAAGCAATTGTACAGGGTATTATTCAGAATCCAGCTTGGTATCAAATCAAACTTGGAGTTGAGATGGAGTAGGTTAAATGCCACGGTGTGTTCCTTTGCCCAGAAGGGAACTTGAATGGAGCAGCATAATGTGCGTGGTGATTTGGGGTGGAGAGAAGTAGGAATCTTCCTCCCATGGTATTTAAATCCTGAGTATGGCCCCCCTTCAGCAAGCTCCTGCTGTGACCCAGGGCACTGCACTTAAACTGATATAAGGAAAGTAAAATGAACAAGCTGTGACACTTAGAAAATATTTCTGCAAGCCTTCCTGTTCCTCTTAACCTTGCTGCTGCTGCTGCTTTTATCTCTGAGTTGCTTTCGGGGTTGACATTGTTTGCACAGTCCTTTGGAAATGTTTTACATTTCTCATTCTTAAAGGAGATGTTCTTAAAACTTCTTCTGTTCAGTGCTGCTCTGCTTTACAAGTATAAACCAGGCACCCTCTTCTCAGATAAATTAGTCTGAGGATGGCTGGATTAGTGAACTGGCTGTGGTGACCCCACAGTTCTCCTTCGGGTGGCTGCTGCCCTGTCTCCACTCCATCCTCACTCAGGGCAGGGCAGGGCTTGTTCACAGCATAAGAGAAAAAGAAACTCAGGGAGGAAAAGAAGCATTTGCTTCCAAGCTGGGACATCAGATTGGCTCCCCTCTCTGCCCTGGTCCCGTATCCAGGGTCAGATCCTTGGCTGTGGGGGCAGCGTGTTCTGGTCGTGCCCTCTCGTGTGGCACCTGCCGTTCTCTGCTTCCAGGCTTCACCAACTTCATGCGCAGCCCCGCCTGCGACGTGTTCAACCCCCTGCACTGCCAGGTGCACCAGGACATGGAGCAGCCCCTCTGCAACTACTTCATCGCCTCGTCCCACAACACCTACCTGAGCGGGGACCAGCTGCTGTCCCAGTCGCGCGTGGACATGTACGCGCGGGTGCTGCAGGGCGGCTGCCGCTGCGTCGAGGGTGGGTGACGGAGATTTCTGTAGGGGGCTGGCTGGGGCTGGGGGTGGGACAGGAGTTTCTCTGATGGATCTGGCTGGGTCTGGGGGCTGATGGGGTTACCTGGCTGGTTCTGAAGGGTGGGACGGGTATTTCAGTGAAGCACAAAGCCAGTGGCAAACTCAGAGCATCAGTGCTTGGCTGTCTGATTCCCTTCAGCAGCAAACTCTTGTGTTTGAGCAGCCTAAACTGAGTTTTTTATTGGGAAGGACCATCTCAGACAAATATTGTAAACACCGTAGAATCATAGGCTGGTTTGGATTGGAAGGGACCTCAAAGATCATCCAGTTCCAACCCCCTGCCATGGGGGAATGTGGAGATCACATTGGATTCCTAAGTTCTGCATGATTTAAATAATAATAAAACATTAGTACTTTTCCAGATTCTGGATGGAATAGAGTCTTTTAACAAATTTAAGCTCAATATTAATTTTTTTCTTAGTATTGCAAAACTCATCTCTGGAAAAATATATTTAAAAATCCATTAGAAAATGTGAACCTGGAAAATTGGGTGCTCCCTTCTGCAGGACAGTTCACTAGAACACACAGCAGTGTGTTATTTTGCTTGACCTTAAAGCTATTGTAGCTGCCTCACAGCCTAGGGAACAACTGCCTCTAGAGGTGACAGCAGTAACGAGCTGGGTGTAAATGCAGGGTACAGTAATTCAGTAGGAAAAGCACCCTGTGCTGGTCCATTCTACTTGTGGTGGATTTGATGCTGCTCTTCATATAATCAGTGATAAAGTTGGAAGGTAAATTAAGAGTGGGAACAGATAAATTGTTCTTAAATAGCTTGCCTTCAGAAGCAGGAGCTGCTTTCCCAGGGTAGCTGTGAACATTATTTGACCTATTACACCTTTGTAATTTTATATATGAGCAAAAGAGCCACCTCAATTTAGTATAAGAGGAAAACAGTTCTGGGTTGCAAGAATCTCACTTGATTTAGGAAAGGACTGTCTTGTTAGTCTTGGCTGCACTGGCAGGTCAGAAGAGATGGAAGGAGCCTTGTTGACCCTGCACGGTTGAGCAGTGCGAGTTCTGCTGGCAGCAGGAGCAGCAGGAACCTACAGGATCGTGGGCATCTCTCACTGTGTGGCTCTCTTTGTGTTGCTAGTGGATTGCTGGGATGGTCCTGACGGGGAGCCAGTGGTGCACCATGGCTACACTCTGACTTCCAAAATCCTGTTCCGGGACGTGGCCGAAACCATCAACAAATACGCCTTTGTCAAGAACGAGTAAGTGCAGAGCCAGGCTGGAGCTGCAGCTGTGCCTGTGCTCATCCCTTGCTGAGGTCAGCAGTCAGCACCAGGCAGGGCATGTGTTCCTCTGAACACAGGAAGGCTGGTTCTGCTCCCCTGTCTTGCCCGTGTCGTGTTCACTGTTCAGCTGCACAAGCTCTTCCCATCGATGGAGGGAGAAACTTCTGCCCAAATTAGACCTTCTGTGCACTGTAAACTCAGTAAGACTGTGAACAGTCTGGCACTTGAATATCTTTCAGCTGAACTTCCCACTCAGGTCCACAGGGAAATTGTCCTTCAAAATCAATACTGTGATGTTCTGTACCTACAGAAAGTACTTTATTTCAGCAGGAAAATTGAAAAGCTGTCACATGCGTAGTGTGAGGAAACACTGAGATGTGGGATAGTGTTCTGAGCTGGTTCATTTGCCATGGTGCTGCGAAACAGCTTATTATGGACTTCAAGCACATATATACAGCAGTCTGAAATCATGAGTGGGGGTAGAGAACTCTGAGTAGTTTAGAGAGAACAAAGGGAAAATGCCTCCTCTTCTGTATTAAAACCAGAGAAAGGAGATACGTGACCCAAAGATGGGGGTATGGGGAAAAAACCAACCAACCAACCGTGCCCCAAAGTTTAACGTTACTGATGATAAACAGGAGGGGGTAATTTGGAAACTGAAGGAGGTGGTTCTTCATTTGGTGTGGAGTTGGCATTTGGGGTTCCTTGCCAAGGTTTGAGGGGCTGCCCAGAGTTTAGAAAACAAAGGGGCAAATCTGTGGGAGGAATAGGCTGGTGCATCCATAGCTGGTGTGGTGAGTGTGCAGATGTTCTGTCTCCACACACAGCTCTGACAGTGCCTGGGGGTTTGTTTCCAGGTTTCCAGTGATCCTGTCCATTGAGAACCACTGCAGTATTCAGCAGCAAAAGAAGATTGCTCAGTACTTGAAGGAGATATTTGGTGACAAACTGGACTTGTCATCTGTGAGCACTGGAGATCCCAGGCAGCTTCCCAGCCCTCAGAGTCTGAAAGGGAAAATCCTGGTGAAGGTAACTTGCTGCTGGCAGCGTGTTCAGAATGCAGCAAAAGTCAGAGTGTGATATTTATTGGAGATTTTGGTTTTGCAGAACCAGTTCATGTGCCTTTAGTACCTGAACAGTATCCTGCAGTCCTCCCTTGGACAGACTGTTCTGGGGTTTAATATAAAAGTGCAAATGCCTTGCCATTCCCCTCACCCTGCTCTGAGCAGTAGTTCGTGAAATAAGTCTGTTTTCAGGGTTCCTCAGCCATGTTTGTGGCAGAAGAGCCCTTTGGAAGGAGATGGAGCAGCCCTGGAGCACTGGAGTTGGTGCTATGGGCAAGATCAGTCCTTTGAGCCTCTCACTATAAATGGATTTGCTCTCAGAGGAATTTCAAAGACCAAGATGGGAAGAATAGGAAAGAAGCTCAAGGCAGACTTTTGAGAGGATGATTAATAGACTTGTGGCTTATTAGATTGTCTAATTTGCTTTGGCACATGGGAGCAATTACTCTTCTGGGAGCTCTCAAGACACTGTTTTTCCCCTCTATCCTCAGTATCAGTCTGGCCACAGGGATTCACAATTCCAGTTTGAGGTCAGTTTGACCATGTTTGAGGGTGTAGTACTGAGCTGACCCCAAGCTGGAAATCCTTTGAGTGCTGGGCTGTGGTTCTGAATGGCACTGACTGGGTTTTCTGGGTAGGTCTGGTTAATGAGCTATGCAAGCACAGAGGAAACTACACATGGAATTAAGTAGGTAATTTCTAATTTCTGGTGTACTGGTTTGGAAAGAGCTTGAAAAGGTCTTCCTGCAACAAACTCTTCCAGAAATACTCAAAATATCATCTGTGATAATCTGGGTCCTTGAAGCAGTTTGCATGAGACTCTGAGAATGATTTCTAGACGCTGGTCTCAATGTACATAAGGCATAGCTGAGGAATGGGCAGTTTGGTCTTTGCACTGAGCACAGTGCATTCAGTGTGCGTGGGTTTGCCTCGTTTCAGGGGAAGAAGTTGCCCTGCAGCCTGGGAGCAGATGCTGAGGAAGGAGAAGTTTCAGAAGAGGACAGTGCTGATGAAATTGAGGACGACTGCAAGTTAAAGGCCTGCTATGTATGTGCACACAGTCGGTGCCCAGCTCTGCATTTCCTTCATGCACTGTCCCTGTCCTGTTTACAGTCCTCAGCAGATCAGAGTGTGTGATTTCTAAGGGTTTGATTCCTCAGTCAGGTGCATGCTGTTCTGTGGGATCCATATTTAAGTGCCTTATGTAAGAGACCGGTTTGAATCTGTATAGTTCTTATGAGTGTTGTTAACAGGAATTCCTTCCTTACCTTATTGTTTGAAGCAGAAACCTAAGGATTAGGTTGCCTGATATTTTGAAGGAAGTGTGTAAGTGCATTAGCTGAGAATTCCTGCTCTTGTGACAGCTGTGAAACAAAGAGTGCCCCGGGGCCAGGCCCAGGGTGAGCTGGGTGGGGGACTGTGCTTTGGGGGGCAGTGTGAGCTGTGTCAGGAGGGCTGGAGAGGAAAGGAAAAGGGAAATGGCACTAAAAGCCACCAGCAGAAAAGGCAGGATTATGCAGGAAGCCTTTTCTTGCACAGAGAGAGGAAGTGCTGGGAGCAGCATGTGAGCTCCCTCGGGCTGTCCCACAGCGAGGGGAGGAATCATCCACTTTAACCAGGTTCCTTGGATGTGCCTTTCAGAGTAATGGTGCAACTGAGCACCAGGTGGAATCTTTTATAAGGACAAAACTGGAATCCCTGTTAAAAGAATCCCAAATCAGGGACAAGGAAGATCCCGACAGCTTCACTGTGAGGGCCCTGCTGAGGGCAACGCACCAGAGTTTCAACGTTAACCTGAAGCAGGTACGTGGGGGTTCCCTTCACCTGCTCTGCTCCACACCAGGCTGTACAATGGGTTGCACACTATTGCAGATGAGAAAGCTGGGAACTTTTTCTGAGGGCTGGTATTATCCAAAATGAAAACTTGAAACTATTTCAGGAAAATAGCTAAGGAGAGAATTTGTATGATTCAATGTGGAAAGTATGTTGGTTCAATATGTTCTAATCTGGTTTATCCCTTGGAAAACTTGGAAGACACCAACTCAGTAAGTCCTGACGTTGCAGGTGTGTGTCAGGCAGTTTGGTTTGTGTCTGGGTTATTGGGGAAAGATCCTTTTTCTGTCACCTTAGTCCTGTCGCGACAGGCCGCAATGACTGCAGGCACTGCTGCCTGTAGCACTGGTGGCTGTTTTCTGCAGCACTGAACCACAGGACTGTGCTTTTCCTGCCCTGAGTAATGTGCTGGTTTTTCTCTAATTGATTTTTCAGAGTGCTCTAGATAAGAACGGTACATTTCTTTGCACTTTTGACACCCAACTGTTCTTGTAAAACAAACAGCAAAATGCATCAGAATTTTGAGTATATCAAGAGTTACTACCTTGAGTCTGTGGTGACCACACTTTCACCTTACCCATCACTGGATGCAAAGCCCAGTGACGTTAATGCAGAGTTTTCTGGGGAGCTGTGCCTGCTCTGACCAGCGGAGCTGTAAAGGTCGAGTACACATAACTCTGCTTTTTCTGCATCTTCCCACTCTGGGGCCTTAAGTATCTCCTGCCAATCTCTCTCCAAAGCTGGACCTGTGGGACTTCCCTGAAGTCAAGACTTCCCAGGCTTGACTACAGAAAACACCCCCGGCTTGTGCTGCTGGAGGCAGCTGGGGGAGGTTGTGCTGTGGGAAGGAGCTGCGAGAGGCAAAGGACGAAGCATCTGACCTGGCAGGAGGGTTGTTTTCAGACTGGCTCTGCAGTGTGACACCAGTCAGTCTGCTGGTTCCTTCTGGCCTTGAGAGGTCAGAAAAGTGGCATTTCGGAGAGCAGACTCCTCACATTAGTGAATGTGATCGGTTATGAGCCATTTCAGTATTATTTTGTGTTAAAATAATTACATTTGAAATGCTCTGTTATCTGGGAACTGCTTGGCCCCTAGAGAGCATTTGAGGGAGTTCTGGTGAAGGAATGCAAATTTCCATCAGGTGTTGGATATGATACCTGAGACTGCCCATTAATGTCACTGATGTGACCAGAATATTAAAATACTCCAGTAATGGGAGTGCATTATTCAAGCATCTGTCAGGTAAGATTAAATGATAGAATTTTTTCATTGACTTATTTTAATTTATGAAGGGATATTTGTAACAGTCCTGTGATGATTGATTTGTGACTGTTGTTTCCAAGCAATACAGTGCTGAATAATTAGGAATAACGCACTAAAACAATTGGAGGATCCATTTATGGCAGTGTTGACCTAGATCAGAGAAATCTAAATGGTTACATGTCCTGCTGTTTTGGGAATTGTGTAACTCCTTAGCTGGCTTTTGTCCTGGGGGTGTGCAGCTCACTTCTAGCAGTTACTGTGGAACTGATGAACCAGAAGGAGATCCCTTGGGATGTTTTCCTGCTCTTTTACTGGTCATTTTCCTTTACTTCATTATTGATCTGCCTTTCATTTCCCTGAAGATTTGCTATTAAAAAAATAAAATTCTGCCAAAGTTTCTGTCTACGTCTTACAGAGAATTCCAGCCTGAGCTGGAACAAGTTTTGACCGGAGCCACAGGGGTTATTGATTCTCCTGGACCCGAATGAACCCTGGAGTGCCCAGATTGCTCTGCTAGTCAGGAGTGAATCCAGCTCAGCACTGAACAGGGCATAGCTGGAGTTCACAGGACTTGTGAAATGCTGGGGGAATATTCTTCAGCTTTGTTTTGCTCTTCAGAAGAGGAAGGGCTGTGTTTTCTGACAGAAAAAGCGAGATGCTGCCAGGAGTTATCCAGCTGATGTCTGAGGGCATGGCTGGGAATGTGAAACTCAGACTCCAGGCTGCCTGTGAAAAGTCCATTTTTATCTTTTGGAGATTATTCCCCCCCTCCTTTCCTTTGTGGCTGTTTTCAACAGAACTCAAACATTGTGGTTTGTTGTTGCTCACCTGGTTTTGCTGGACTGCTTTTTCTACCTGGGTTGTTGTCTGAAGTGTTAACATGAATATTTTTCTCTTCAATTAGAGGAGTCTAAGCTATCAAGTATGTAAAGAAATCAGAAAAGTCCTGTAATGAGATTTTGGGTTTCAATTTGTGTTCACAGATCAGACTTTAACTCACTTTTATTCTCTCACGTGCAATCACTGCACTCCTGATAGTGCACGAGGCTGATGTAGAACTTGTATCATATTGAAATGATGCCTTTTAGAGACTGGAGCAGACTCCTTAAAGAGGTTTCTGAAGGTATCTAGTTACACTTTTTATTGCCCTTTCTCTGCACAGAACCTGGACTCAAAAGAGGGTGGAAAAAAGTCTCACGGTCGATCATTGATGGGCAACTTTGGTAAACACAAGGTGAGTAAAGTGAGAGGCTCTGTGTGCTGTGCTGGGTCTGGAGCATTCCAGAGGCCCTGGGAATGTTTCACTGTCTGGGGGCAGTGAGGAAAACCTGTGTGATTACACTTGGAGTCTTCACTGCTGTTCCAATATTAACTGCCAGCAGGAGGGAGAACCTTTAAAAGGAACAAAAAGAATCTCGTGTGACTAGATCACCTTTAGTAGTGAGGTGGAGTTGCTGATTTTGTGATTGAGCTTGCAGCAGCAGAAGAGCAACACAGACAAATGTCTTGGCATATTCTTGTTTTGCACACAGCTGACAATGCCTGGCTCACTCAGGGCCCGGTTTGAGCTGTCCCACCCTGGCAGTGCCACCCAGGACGTGCTGGGACTGTGCCTGCTCCAAGGGCTGCTGTGACAGGGGCTGCTGGCTCTGGGCTCCTGCTCTGCACAAGCACTTCTGTGCTGCTCTCCTGGTTTTGCTTATTCTGTTTGTGTGTGTGGAGCTGCCAGGTCACACTCCCTGCTCCGCTGCCCTTCGCTGGGGCCAGAGCTGATGGAGTCCAGATGAGTGGGAGGTCTCATTTTACAGCTGGGCAGAGCAGCCACCAAAAGAGACAGTGCTCCCGTGTGTCCTCCCATTCCCATCTCCTGACAAATGTTCTCCTGTCATCCACCTCCCCTATTCCCACGTTCCCAGGGTGCCTCAGGGCTTGGATTTATATCCCCAGTGTGAGCCGATCCAGCTGAAAGCTTCCTGCCCCCTGGAGTCAATCAGCAGATATAAAGTCAGTAAATGAGCAGAGGGGCATGTGGCAGGTCTGCAGCCCAGTCCTTGAGCCACCAGAGCCTCCTCTGCCCCCAGGCTTGCCAGGTGCTGGTATTCCTGGTCCATGCCATCCATGGTGAGAGCTGCACCAAGCAGGGAACATGGTCTGGGACTGAGAATCTGAGCAGTGGTTTAGGAAAAACAGCAATTAAGAAATGTTTCATAGAACTTAGTCAGCCACCAGTCCATCTGCCCTGAAGCCAGCTAGGAGCCATCAAAAAACCCCTGAGCAGGCAGGGTCAGGGCTCATATTTCCCCTGCAGTTCCAAGCTGCCATCAGTGTAAGGTGCTCAGGTGCCCTGCAGCACCTTTGGCTCAGTGCACGGTGCTCTGGGGGTGTGCAGAGCTGGAGGTACCTGTTGTGCCTGAGAGTGGATCTGTCACACCCTGTGCTCCCTGCTGGCCAGACCAACGTGTGGAATGAGATGTCACAGGCCAGAGTCAGCCACTGAAATCTGCTGGTTATGCTGAGGGCTGGAAAGCCTGTCAATAATTTAATTACTTCAGCTAGTTATCCTAATGGATACAGCAGGTTGGAAAGGCCATTGATTTCATCTCTGCTGAAAAAAATAAGGATAGATATAGATTTTTTTTTAAAACAGTGATTGTATTGTAGACTGAGGCAACAAGGACCTCCAATGCCTTTCCAGCTGAAGGGGAAGGCAGGTTCCTATCGATATTTTTGCAGATACAGAATTATCCACCCAGCAGTATTGACGTGTGACGTTTTCAGGCAGCTCTTGTGCCAAGTGTATCCATGGATAAACTCTTTAAATTGCCAGTGGAGGGACAAAGGCACTAAAGCTGGACATTTGTGAAAGTTAACTGCAGGGAACATCCTCAGTGCAGGCCTTCAAATTCAAAAACTGAACCATGCTAATGATTTCCAATATAATCAACTTTATGTCAGCACTAAACACAGCAAACTAAATGATGTTCAATATTGGGGTATCACAACAGGAGGAAAGAAATCTGTGCTCAGTGAGCCATATGAGTAAAAGGATAAGGAGATCTCAGTTATATTGTTAATTACCTCATGATGAAAAGGGAATTAAATTACTCTCACAAGAAGCTGTGGTTACTGTTACAAAAACTAAAACGTTGTTGAAATTGGAAGCTATTAAATCATAGGTGCTTATGAAAAAATGGTGATTTTTAGGTTTTAATCCTTTTATCAAAGCTGTTTTCTTTACTGCACAATTGTAATAATATAGAATAACTTCGGGGTTTGTATGTGGCTCAAAAGGGAGCAGAAAGATGATGTTTGGAAGTTCTGCCCAGTCCTTTGGGGTTCCAGCAGGACCAGTGCCCAGGGTGCTGTGCTGGTGCCAGGGGGGCAGGGGAGGGAGCTGTAGGGCACACAGTGGGCTGGGAAGGACTGAGCATTGGCACAGAGAATTTCCTTAGGCCTGGCTCTGCTCACCAGCAGCTAAACCTGCTCCATGGCTGTGGGAGAGAGATCAGGACACGGGTGATTTGTGCTGCCTTTCCTTCATGGAAACCTTGAGGAACCTCCAGGGCTTCAGCTGTCACAGCCCCTGGGTCAGTCGGGGTCCTGACACCTCCCTCAGGTCAACCCCAGCAGGGTGGGTTTCTGGAGCCACCCTGGCCTGACCCAGCCCTGCTTGACTCTTCCCCACAGAAAGCTGCCAGGGCAGCAGCCAAACAACACCCCAGTGCATCGGATGAGGACGAGAGCCAGCAGAACCCCCCGGGGAGGGACCCAGGGCATCCCCACAGGTGAGCTGGCAATCCCCACAGGTGTGCAGCTCTGCTGAAGCCACGGGCTCGTTCCCTGCCATCTGCAGTTCCATGGCATTGCCTCAGGGAAGTCTGTGCCCGAGGGCACATGTATGGCACGTGTGTCCCGTATGACACAGCTGGGGGTGTTTTGCTGGACCTGGTGTTTTGATCACATTGGCTGTCACAGGTTGCAAACAGCAATTACCCTTAAACTGGAGAGAAGTGTGACAGCAACACTGTGCTGGTGGAAAGGTGCCAGTCCCCGTTTTGCCTGCTGTAAACAGTGCTCAGAGCAAACCGTGCGGGTTCAGTAAGGTGCATCCCCTCCTGGGCAATTTCACCGCTTGGGAGAGCGTAAAGAGAAAGCAATCAGAACAGTGCCATGGAGAATGTGTTTGCTGTCACAGAAATGCTCCTTGGTTTTGTCTGGGAGAGCTGTGGTGCAGCTATTTCATTATGTTTTAAATGAAACGTTGTCTGTGCAGTGAGACTGGGGAGGTGCAGGGGAGCCCTGTCTGTGGAGGTTTGCTGCACACAGCTCCCTGCTCACACTTGGTTGTTTCCTTACTGATGAAAAGAACAGAAAGGGGGATTGAATTATGCCTTAAATACTGAAATCTGCTGTTGCTCTGTGTGTGCTCCCCTCAGACTGGCCCGCCGGAGGAAGACGGTGAAGCTGTGCCGGGCTCTGTCTGACCTCGTGGTTTACACCAACTCTGTGGCTGCCCAGGACATCGTGGATGATGGTACAGGGGCTGGCACAGGCCTTTGTCACCTGGGAGAGGGAATGGGCTGAGTGCTGCTGTTAGTGGGTCACAGGGACTGGAGCAGAACCAGAGCCCAGCTGGGCCCTCCCTCCCCAGCAGTGAATCCTTTGGTCATGCTGCCAGCAGTAGATTTCTCTGTAGATTCTCCAGGGTGGTCCTGTCTGGGGTTCTACAGGAGAAAAGGCCCCAACAATCAGCTGGAGCTCTTGCTTGGTTTGGCTTTCAAGTGTGGGTAGGACATAAGACCCTCCTGGAGGGGGAAGCTGGTGCCCTTCAGTTACACGAGGTGCACGAATTGTGTAAGACAGGACAATCTGTGTGTGTAATTTTGGAGTAAAGCTCATGTTCCCCTGCACTAATGCCAGTGTGGTGAGGTCTGAGCTCAGGCCCCACGTGGCACTGCTGTGTCACCTGCTCATTGTCTGACCGTGACACAGGCTCGACGGGGAACGTGCTGTCCTTCAGTGAGACCAGAGCCCACCAGGCCGTGCAGCAGAAGGCTGAGCAGTTCATGCTCTACAACCAGAAGCAGCTGACCAGGGTCTACCCCTCAGCATACCGGATCGACTCCAGCAACTTCAACCCCGTCCCCTACTGGAACGTCGGGTGCCAGCTGGGTACGTGTGCCAGGAAAACCTCGCTTCCCTTGTGTATGCTGAGGAATGTTACCCCTGTCAGTGACACCTGACTTTTCTCCTTCAGTGGCCCTGAACTACCAGTCTGAGGGACGTGTGATGCAGCTAAATGAAGCAAAATTCAGGGTAAATGGCAACTGTGGCTATGTCCTCAAACCTCAGCAGATGTGCAAAGGTAATGTCCTGCTGTACATTTATGACAGGAACTGCCAGGCCTTTCACAGAGTGTCTTCACAGTGATGTTTGGAAGGCATAAGACGGGAAAGTAAAAACAAAAATAGAATCTTTCATATTTCCATACATTCATAGAAGAGAGTTTCCAAGTTACTGGCAGCTGCCTCGTACTGTTTGTTACCTCTGACTGAACTTTGGCCATACATGTGCATCTTGGGGATGATACTTATTCTGTGGATTTCTTTCCTTACCCTTCTCATTCTTCCCATCTTTTAGGCACATTCAACCCCTACTCTGCTGATCCACTTCCTGCCAGTCCTAAAAAGCAGCTTATTCTGAAAATCATCAGTGGGCAGCAGCTCCCCAAACCTCCTGACTCGATGTTAGGGGACCGAGGAGAGGTGAGAATCTCTGATCCCAACAGCTCCACGAGAGCTCCTGGAGTGACAGGGCAGCATGTGGCTCAAAATACTTTCTCCTTATTTAAATCCACCAGTAAATTTCACGTATTGTCAAGCTTTTGATCACTAGATACTACATTTTCCCCCAATCTGTACCCTACACATGATGCTTAAGAACCAATTTGCTTTGTATTAAAGGTGACTTTACTGGTTTGCAAATCAGTCATAGCTGTCCATAGCTCTGGAGACTGCAAACCATACATCAGCTTGGAACTTCATGAATCCATTTCCCACAATAGTGCTGCTGGAAAATCCGTGTCAGTCAAAGAGTTTTGGATTCTCATATGAATTTAAATTGAATCTCTGCATGAATTTCTTAAAAATTGACCTTCACCTGTATCATTGGCTTGCTTTTAAAATATTTTGTTTTTAATAAATAGATAATAGATCCCTTTGTTGAGGTGGAAATCATTGGGATACCTGTTGACTGCTGTAAAGATCAGACCAGGGTGGTGGACGACAATGGTAAGATAATCTGAGTGATTTCTTCTTCTTCTTAGAGTAAAACATAAAGTAATTATAAATGATTCAGAGTCTGTTATTACTTTCTAAATTGCAAAGTTTCTTATCTGGTGAAATCAAATGATTGTGTTTTAACAAATGAATTCTGCTTTTTAGACAGAATTTCTGGTGTGGGGAGACAGCCAAGCGAGAGGTGAAGGGAAGGGCTGTTCACCTCACTGTCTTTCTCCACGGTTGTTCTCAAATCTCCTTCATGCAGAAGTTCAAATATCTATCTATATAGCTCAGTTCTGCAGAGCAACACCTTGCTGTGGTATCCCTGCCAGTTGCTCAGGCAGAACCATTTTGTTTTTAAAGCAGTCCAAGAGACAAATCTCACATTTAATGACTGACATGATGGAGATTGAGGGTGCCCAGATCTAGAGGAGCAACGAGTAATGGGTTTCCACGTGTGCTGCTGCCGCTTTCCTCTTGCTGTGCATTGTGAAAATTGAGGACAGCACTTGCTCTGGACTTGTTTCCCAACCTTTGTGTGCTGTTTGTTTCTCAGGGTTCAATCCAGTGTGGGAGGAAACTCTCACCTTCACCATCCACATGCCCGAAATAGCCTTGGTGCGGTTCCTGGTCTGGGACCACGATCCCATCGGGAGGGACTTTGTGGGGCAGAGAACTGTGGCCTTCAGCAGCCTCATGCCTGGTGAGTCCCACTGCTTCTCCCTGACCTGCAAATCCAGCTGAGGAACAAACAGCTGTACCTGAAGATGGGGGTACCAGCATGAGGTGATACATGCTTGTATCTCTGGCACTTCTTGGACAGCTCTCCTGGTGTCTCAGGGTGGGTTATTCACCAACACTTGAAGGAGTTTGGTCGTCTGTGCTTTTGGAAATCACTACTGGTGTCCTTTATAATGTTGATGTGATTTGTAGTGGGGTTTTGGAGACACCTGTGAGAACATAAGGAGTTTACTAAAGGTGGCTTACGGTGTATACATCACCTCTGTGGACAGTCATCACCAGGACTGCATGAAATGCAAACTGCTGGTTCTTTGGGGTTATCTGTGTGCAAATATTTCTGTTTCTGTTTCACCAGGCTATCGCCACGTGTATTTAGAAGGACTGACAGAAGCATCCATATTTGTTCATATAATCATTAATGAGACCTATGGAAAGGTGGGTATAGCTGGAAATGTGCATCTTCCCTCTGATAAAAGTGGTTTTAAATACACCACAGGACTGCAGGGGCTGGAGTGCTCAGGAGGCAGAAGGAGGAGGCTCATCATGTGGGGGGTTCCTCGCAGGAGATCAGCAAGGAAGCCGCAACATACCATTGCTCTACTCTTAGTGCTCACATACTTAGATGTTCTTACTGTCAGCACCTAATAATCAGCATGTCTCATACAGGAAGTGCATTTCTTCAGTGTGCTGAACTGATTTTATTTTAGAAGTAAATCTTGAGAACCATAATTGCACCAGAACATGGTCTTTGACAAGCTATTTCTAGCAGCCAATTTAATTAATTTAAATTAACCTAATTTAATTTTAGGTTTCAGTGCATACATTTTGCTTTTCTGCTAATTTTGAACCCTTTTTAAAATGAAAGTAAAAACACTGTGCTTTTTCCATGCATTTTGCTTTCTCTGCCTTTCTGAGCTGTTTACAGGAGGTGGTTGGAGATAAACAGCACAAAGAAACTGTGACTATTTTCAGCAGGGGGCTGAAGTAAAATAGCACCTTCCCAGTGATTAAAAAAATAAATAAACAGGAAAAAAAAGCACAACCAAAACCTGACCTTTATGAAGGGTGTAGGTTGCAGAGATTGGTTTGCAAGAGTGTTTGGCTGCTGCTCTTGCTGACATGCTCATCAAAGAGGAAATATGTTCAATAAAACCAGTGGAGAGCAGCTGCAGAGGGAAGGCAGGACAAGGACGGGGGAGGCCCGCTGGGATTTGATCTCTATCCCTTAGTCTGCTCATCTGATGCTTGCCTGAGCGCTGGGCAATGATATTATTGTTTCTGGTAGGCTGAATGCATGTTTGCATCCACGGAGCGAGGAGATCTGGCCAAGCTTCTGGGAGACACTCATATTAGACTAACAAATAGTTTTTTTAAATGCTTTGCTGTGTATTAACCTAATTTGCTTGTGTGGCAGTCTTGGGAACATGAGCCAAATGGATTTGCTTTTTTTTTGCCTTTCAGTGGAGCCCTTTAATCCTCAACCCCAGTTACACAATATTGCACTTTCTAGGAGCCACCAAGGTAGAGCTCACGAGCATGTACTTTGCACTCGCTGGGCACGGCTTTTCAGTGCTTCCCAGTCGCATGATCTGCAGCTGCCAAAGTGGCATCATTGTCCATCCAGGCTCTGAGACATCTGGATATTGCTGTGGTGAAGGCCGTGCCTGTAAAACCCCACGTCAGAGTGCAGCCTGTCACTGCAGACACTTCTCATCAGGGGGCTTGGAGCAAACCTCTGCTGTAACCGTGGCAGGCTGCCGTCCTGATGGGGGGAAACACAGACATGCATGAACCCATGGAGAGCTGAGCTCAGAGCTCCTGGGTCAGAGTGGCTGTGAGTGGCTTGGTGTGGAGTTTTGCTTTGCTGAGTTCTGCTCTTTGTCTGCATCATTCACAAACGCTCTGGAAGCAGCTCTTTCCCTCGCACTCCTCTACCTGAGTGTGAGCTCAGCCCAAAGCGTGCTCTCCTTGTCCTTGCAGAGCAAGCAGCTGATGGGGCTGCGGGGGCTGTTCAACAAGAGCCCCAAGCAGGGCTGTGCCGAGCCCAGCGGGAGCTACGTCCGCAACAAGAGGTCCCTGGGCGAGCGGCTGCTGCGGCGCACGGCCAGCGCCCCGGCCAAGGGCAGGAAGAAGAGCAAGATGGGCTTCCTGGAGGCTGCTGAGATGAAGGACAGTGCATCTGAGCCCGCAGACCTGAAGGACAAGGAGGGGGTGGTTCGGCGGCCCAAGCGCAGCCTGCAGCAGGCGCGCCCCGCGTCCATGCCCGTCGACAAGTACCTGCTGGTGGGACTGCCCTGCCCCGCCCAGGACACCGCCCAGGAGACCAGCGGGAAAGAAAACACCTCTGGTAAGATGCTGCCAAAAGTACTGCTGATACAGTGAGCTGAAATGGTCTGTTGAAAGGAGTAGCCTCTGTGCAAGTAGTTTTATTCAACTCAGACCAGAGTTACTGCACAAAATTATGGGGGCTGAAGTTGGTAGGGTTTTATCACCCCCTCAAATAAGTGACACCCTGGAAAGCTGTCTGCTCTGCAAACTGGGCAGATGAGTCACAATAATTCCTGGAAGTGCTCTTTTAAGGGCATTCACCAAATTTCTCTGTGATTTAAGAACCAGCCTTCCATTGCTCTTCATCAGAGTCTGGTTTCCTGCTCTCCATTCACTTGTGGAGACAGAGCTGCTGGCAGGAGGGTTCTTCTCCCTGTTTTCCAGGAGGAAGAGCTGCATGCAGCATATGTTTTTGGTGATAGTGTGCCTAAAGACTTTCAATTAGATGTAAAAGGGGTAAAAGTAGGTCAAACTTTGTATCCAACAGGCTTGATATTTGGCTCTTACCCTAGGTCACTGAATTTGATCAATTTATATGGAAAACATATGTTAGGATAAAGTCTGGGTCTTATGTAACTGATACTCAGTATGATTTCACCTGTAAAACAGCTGTAAACCCCATTTTTCTCATGGTGTTCAGCAGTAATAGCCCTGGTTTGAAATACAGGATAGGCCCTACTTTGAAATCCAGTTATTCCCATGACTGCAGCAAAGTTACTGTGTTGGACCTGCCTAACATTTGATTTGCTGGAATACTTAGATAGTCTAGGGAGCTTTGAGTCCAGTGGCTGTGACTCATTAGACCTGCTGTCTCCACCCTGAGTTAGTCCCTAATCTGGAGAGTCAGTACTGCTTTTTGGGGCTGGTTTTGGTTTATTTGGGAGGAACATGTGCACTTCCAGAGGCTGCCCCAGATCCTCAGCTTTGGGCTGGCTCTGGCAGCCCGGATTTGAGGGACAGTCCTGAGGGACTGGTGGAGCAGCACAGCCAGCGCCACCATCTCTGCCCTGGTGAGAGGCACAGAGCACCCTGAGAGCCTCCCTTGGCCAGGGGGTGACAGAAAGGCTGCTCTGCTCCAAATCACCTCAGCTGCAGAGCAGCCACTTCAGCAACTGCAGGAGCCACTGAAACATAACTACTGGCACTGCTAGGACATGCTGATCAGCCACCTTTGTGCTGCTGGCCCACATTAGAGGCTTTGAAGGAGCAGCTAATCGGCACATCACTTGTAAAAGAAGCTCCTGAGGAGGAACAGTGAGCAAAGCCAAGCCAGGGCTTTCTCCAGCACCATGAGAAGAAACTGTAGGCAGGAAAAAGGATGTTCTAGTAAAGGAAGATAACTCTGAAATGCTGTGGTTTAAATTGAAAGATCCTCTAGATAAGCCTGTGAAGATGATACAGCTCAGCCGTTCCTTGCAACAGATGCAATAATTTCTTAGGTATCTCTTCCTGAAAGTGCTACAAAGACACAAGAAACACTAGAAAGCTGTCACAGGGGATGAATCCTGTCCTTTAGAGTCTCCAAAAGGCTGGCTCCTTAACCCTGTTGAAGAGGCTGTCTCACAGACACCTGTCTTGCTAAACTGCTGTGGCTGAGCATGTCTCTGCTGCTCCGCTGGAATTGTGCCAAGAGGGCAGTGTGCTATCCATTTTCTCCTACATTCTTTATAGAAAAAGTAAATCTACAAACAAATGTGCATCTCTTCCATCCTAGTCTGGGAGCACTGGAAAGCTTGGGAAGTTTTCAGGTTTTGGAGATGGGCATTTAATGCCATGCTCACCAGAAGCAGTTCCTGCTCCATCGAGGGGGCTCAGTCACTGTTGGTGGATGATCAGGGCTCCCCTTGCTGCTTCCCAGGGTATCTGATGTTGAGCAAATGTGAAACCCAGCATAGATCAAACCAAGCTTACCCCTATAGTCCCTGCTTAATTAAACTCCAAAGCAGTGAGTCATGGAGCTCAGATTTGGCACATAAAGACAAGTAAGAGGATTTGGTGGAGAAAACATCTAATGTGTGTTTTTCAAGGAATTCAACTCCTTGCTCCTGTGAATGCAGCATGCTGGTGGAATATCAAAATGAAATCCTTTAAATTGTGACACTTTGCAATAACCACATGTCTGGAGTCCATCTCCTTGATGCTTTTTACTCAGCTTGAAGCATGCATCTTGTTTCCAAGTGTTGTGTGTTTTAACAGAGCTGTTTTGTTCTGTCTTTATTGCCACGCTTCTTTGTAGTACAAATCTGACTAGGAACACAGCTGAAGGTAATGCCACGTGCAAGCCATGACATGGTACCTCATTAACATTACTTACAACGAGTATTACATCACCTGCCTGATGTAATAGACATTCCAGGAAGTTTCAGTGAAGTGCCTGCAGTTGTATTTTTGCCATTTGTTCGTATCACTCAGATAATTTGTACTAAACCTGCACAACTCCATGGTTAAGTTCTGTCACAACTGTACCTAATTTTGCGTGCTCCATTTGTCTGTCTGAGGACAAAAGAGTTGTTGATAGGCAGAACAGAGTCTTGTATGCAACTAATATGTTTCTTATTTAATTCAGGCGACAGTGATGACAATACCAACGAGAAGGAAACAAACTTGAAAGAATCTGGTTTTCTGTGTTTGGAGCAAACAGCAAACACTTCAAATTTGGGATCTCGATTCAAGGAGAATGGCCAGAAGGATTCTACAGCTGACTCTTTGCTACCACCTCCTCAGGAGCAACCTGAACACTTAGTTTCTGCAAGCGGTGTAACTGAAACAAATCACCTCTTGGACTGTCAGGAAAAGAATCTTTCCGATGAAACTGTCCCACCAGCGCAGGACTCTGACTCTGGACCTTGCACAGAGAAACCACACGACAAAAACTGTGCAGACAGTAAAAAGGAAGATGACACAAAGGGATCTGAGGAGGGCAAAGTCACTCTGGTGGGGACTTCTCTTTGTCAAAAGGCAGATATGGAGAATCACAAATACGACCTCAAGAAAAGCACTGCAGCACCTCCTTCTCTGCCTGACATTCCTTCTCCCCCTGGCTCTGACAGCCCTGACTTGCACTCCACGCTGGCCCTGCAGGACAGTGACATTTCTCGCCTCATAGATGAGGTTTCTCTGGCTGCTGAGAGCGAGCTGGACAGCGCTGTGTCTGCTCTCATCGGGCAGGTGGATGTCACAGGGGACCAAACCCAGCTCACCGCTGTCTCAAACCATGACAGCAGCAGCCAGCCCTTCAGTGTGGGGGCTGCACACCCACAGGGCTTTACTGTAGGTCTGAGCAGCCCCTGTAAGCACAGCTTCACTCCCACAAAATCCACCAAATCCCCCTTATTCTCCACTCCAGATACAACCACGTTCTCCAGCCCAGAGACGGCAGAGTATTCCATGTGCACGACTGTCCAGGGGGCAGCTCCAGCTTCTGAATGTAAGACCCACAGGCAATTAGCTTCCAAGAAAAAAGTCAATAGTCTAGAAAGTAACTTGCCTGGCTCTCCCTGTTCTTCACCCCTCTCTTTGCTAAATGCAAACCCCAAAAGAAACTGTGGAACAAAATCCGGGCCGAGCTGGGAAGGCCCTGAGTCTGCCAGTTCTTTTGCATCCAGTGACCTCGTCTTTGAGGAGATGCTGGTGGACCCTGTCCCTGGTGAGAACTCGGACAGCAGCAGCCTCGTGGAAGTCGATGGGGACTCCCAGGATCTCCTGGTAACTGCCTGTGAGTACAGGAGGGAGGACATGAGCCAGCTGGCTTCTCCTTTGAGACTGAGGCAGAGGCAGGACACCGGGCAGGGCGGTGAGAGGACCTCTGGGAACAGCATGGCTGTTGGGCTCTGTGCTGCTGCCCGCGCCTCCTCAGACACCTTCCGGACTGCAGGGAGCCAGCTCCCTCTTGCTACGTGTGCAGGTGCCGGGGTGTTGTGCCCCACTCACTCAGATAAGCAGCCAAACGTCCCGTGTGCCCCCGAGAGGTGCCAGCTCAGCACGGCCCCCCCGCTGCTGCCGAGCGCTCTGCCCTTCCCCCCTCACCCCGCCATCCAGCAGAGCAGCCCCTGCAAGTCCAAGAGCCTGGGAGACCTGACGTCGGAGGACATCTCCTGCAACTTCGAGAGTAAGTACCAGTACATCAGCAGGAGCTTCATCTCCTCGGGCATGAGGGACAAGAAGCTGGCTGCCATGAGGAGCCTGCGGCCGCGCTCGGCGGACGCGCTGACGGAGCGGCTGCGGGAGCTGCTGTCCCCGGAGCAGGACGAGCCCCGGCCCGGCCCGGGCCAGCTGGACGACGACTGTCCCCGGGCCCTGGTCAGGAAACTGTCGTCGCGCAGCCAGAGCCGCGTGCGCAACATCGCCAGCCGTGCCCGCGAGAGGCAGGAGGCCAGCAGGCACAGAGCCCCCGCCGCCGGCACCAGCACCGGCGTGGTGCTGAGGAACAGGCCCTCGGCGTCCCCACACGTGGCCAACAGGCACTCCACGGGCTCCTACATCGCCAGGTACCTGGGCAGCTTCCCCGGGGAGCCCGTGGAGGGCCGGGGCGTGCCCGAGGGCTCGTGCTCGGCTCTGCACCTGGGCTGCACCGACCGCTTCTACCAGCACGACTCGGTCCTGCAGCTGCAGCCCAGCCCCGAGGACCAGCCCGAGATCTACTTCCTGCTCAGGCTGTAGGCTGCATCCCTGTACATCCCCAGTTTACAGACTGCTTCACTGAAATGAAGGATTTGTAGTGAGAAACACTCTTTGGAGCGTTTAAATTATTTAGAAATGCAATTTCATGCTGCTGATTCGGCCGCGATTGAACGTGCCCTTTCCTGTCGGAGCTGATGTAAATAGAGCCACGTTCCACCCTTAGGGATGCCTTGCTGTGATCCCCGAGCGATGAGGCTGGGGCTGTGCATGCAGTGAGTGTTTGTAGCATTCTGTGTCTGTGATGCTGAAAGCTGACAGTGCAGCGAATGCAATGGCATCGTGTTCCTCATGTCCTGTCCCCCTGGCTGGAAAACACTTGTAGGATTCCACGGAGCACTGTGGTGTCAGGAAGCAGGAATGGGGCTGGCCCGGGGCTGGTTGTGCCCAGCAGGCCCTTGGTGAGCAGCACTGCTTCCTGCCTGCTCTTACTGATCTTACATGGCTTCATGTACGGACTGGGATGCCACAACAAAGGATTTGTAGAACTAGGGTTAGTCCAAATCTGTGAGTCCTGTGTAGATTTGTCTTCTGCCTGCTCTGTGGAGTATGACAGCTGTTGTCTTCCTTTTTGATCACCGTGTTGAATGCTGGCTTTGGGACAGAGTGGAATGTGGGAGTAATTCTGCATTTATGAATGAAAACACTAAATTTCTGTGTATTTTGTGTATTTTTGCTGTTGGATGTGTGTGTAGCTTTGGTGCAGTAGCAGATCCGTTCCCTGTATATTTGTAATTTTATTGCTAAATTGTCGATGGTCAGGGGGATGGTTAAGGCTGACTTGGGAGAGGGACTGTTTTGACTGTTCACCTTTTTCTATGAAGGCTGGAAATGAATTAGGTGAAGGAATCTCAGACACCTGAAGCTTCCCTGTAGGGAACAACATAGCTTTATTTTGGTTTTAAGATATTCTTTGCCTTCGCTGTAAGTTTTTCTGATGTGTAAAAGATGTACCTTTTACCTCTTTCTTTTGTAATGCAGAGTAATATTATTCTTGAAAACGTCATTAAAATAGATTTTTAAGCACTTGTTTACATGTTCTGTGAAGCTGTAGCAGGAAGATCTGTGCTTTAACTAGCAGTGGTTGGTGACTGCAGACATCTGGCTGGGCAGGAACTTGCAGCAGGATTTCAGGAAGGGAAGGATTCAGTTCTTTCACGTGATGATGGTTCTTAGCTGGAGTTCGGCAGCTGAGCTCTCGTCTCTCTTCTGGGTCAGAAGCCACATTTGAGTAGGTCTGACTGCTCCATCCAGGCTCTCACACAGGCTGTTTTATCACCTGGGAGAGAACAGGGAATCTTCCTAAATAACAAGCATTTTTCCACGGAGGAACAGAACCAGATGCTGGCTGAAGCCCCAAGCTTTGGACCTGCATTTCTACCTCGATACCTGTGGTGCAGTTTGGAAGGGGGGACTGAAGCCTTGTAGAAGTGCCTTGTAAATAAGCAAATGATGACATTACCAGCGCAGGGCATGAAAAATCCTGAAGGTTGTTACTGGTTTTAATTGGAATTAGTTTAGAAACATTGTGTGGTGCTTGCAGGAGGTCAGAATAGATTAGTGTGGTGGTGTTTCATCACTTAATCTCTTATAATGTCCCCTTAATTCCAGACGTTCCTCCGGATGGGCACAGTTCTTTGTGTGACAGTGGAATTTGGCTGCTGAAGCAGGGCAGGTTTCTGTAGCGCAGCCTCAAGCCAGAGGGCAGGCTCAGTGGTTTTTCCTGCCTCGCTGGACTTGGTGTTTGGGGTTTTTTGTATCCCTGTGTCACTGAAATTCAGATTACATTCGGTTTGCACGCGGTTGTTCTGGTGGTGGAGCACTGGGATGTGCCAAGACCTCGTCCCCTCTCAGTGCTGGGAGCTCTGAGCCTGGAGGAACTCGAGTCACAGGATTCAGGGTGTTCACAGCTCTTTTGGTGACCCCTCCCAGGTGAGAAGGCAGAGGGGGTGTGTGGCAGCTCCAAGGATCTCCTGAGGGCACTCTGGGGGTCTGGACATGGAGAGCTGATGAGGAGGACTCTTTTTGTGTCTGCAAAGGTGGTGATGTAACAGAAGTTTTCAGTCTGCAGAACCTGAATTTCAGTAGGTGTTTAGTAATGGATTTGGGCCTTAAATATGCCTGAGGAATGCAGGAAATCCCAGGTGTGGTGGACAGGAGCATGAAAATACCTGTCTGAGCAGCCCTCTGCACGGGGCAGCTGGGGCAGGGGGTGGTGTTTGGAAGACTGGAAGCAGAGGTGGTGTATAAAATGTTTGAACTGGAGAGGGGTCCCAGCCAAAGTCAGACATTGTCTCTTGCTTCTAACCCCACAGTTATAAGAGAACAAAGATTAGTTGTAAACATCAAGCACTAAAAACTCGGTGGTATAATTTTGTACCTATAATAGGGTTAAATTCAGCATTTTCTGTTAAAGCAAGTGCTCCAGGTATCTACAGGATAATCATTTGACCATCTCCCTCTTAATTTGCTAGAAATGGAGAGCACTGACCCTCTGCCAGGAAGAACTGAGCCCAGAGGAGCCGAGGCCGTGCTGCCCTTGCAGGATAGGCAGGTGAACATTCCAGGGGCTGTTCCTGTGCCCACTGTTAAATGTGTGGTTCAGTCAGGACCTGTTCAGGCAAAGGTGCTCGAAACCCCAGCATTTCAGTTTCTTTTCCAGGTGAGAGTCTGTATAATACAAACAGTAATTTATCCTTTGCTTAAAACTCTCCTTGTTGCTCTGAATCTGGAACTTACAAATAGCAGGGATGTAGGGCAAGGACAAAAGATGGAAGAGAAAGTTAAAGACACCCTTTATCTGGTGAACTTGAACTTTTCTCTGCGCTGAGGGGGAGGTTAAGATGAATTGGAGCTGGGCAGATGTCATTCCCCAGTGAAGTCTCTCGGTGTAAACCCCAGTATTTAAGGGGGATTTACTGCATTCTGTACCAGGTTATATTCTCAATTCCAATGGATTTCATTTCTATTATAATTTATATCACAGATACCAATATATTTCCTCAGTTTTTAGTTTAATGAACAAGCTGCATTTTCTTTCCTGGAATGGAAGGGATATAAACAAATTTACCTGCTGCCAGTCCAGCTGCTCCAGTGGGGATGATCCTGCCATAAAGAAGTCCTGGGATCCCCGAAGCCCCTGCTGCTCGTCCTGCCCCCAGGGTGATGTGCTGTGAGTGGTGAGTACTGGTGACACCAGCCCAGGGCAGGGTGAGGTGGTGGAGGGGATTGTTCCTCAGTCAGGGGGGTGTGTGCTGCAGGATCAGGGTGCTGGCAGATGATCTCACCCACGGTCAGATGCTCCATGAGCAGTGCTGGGCAGCCATAGGAATGGGAGAGTTTGGGAAAGCTGGGAATGCCCCCTTCCCCAGCCTGGATGATAAACTGGGGGACACTGGAGTCAGAATAAAGCCCTTTCTGGCCTCAGTCTTTAAGCCCCCATGAACATCTGGGCCGTAGATTCTGAGGAGATTGCACAGAGCCAGGAGTTCCAGACACAGGGGTGGAACAGAGCAGCAGTCTGCACTTCAGACATTTATAGGGCCATTTGTTTCTTAGTCCTTTCCCCAAATTAATTAAACTGTGTATGAACAAGACAGCAGCTTGTTGAAAATCCATCTAGACAGGGCTGTTTGGTGCAGAGGCTGCACCAGAGCAGAACAAGCAGTTGTTTTTGCCTAGTAAAGGCCGGTGGCTCACAGCCTGGGTTAGCAGGTCTAGATTGCTTTGCTAATTTATGAAAGAAGGCACAAATTGGGCTGTCCAAGAATCTACAGAGGAGAGGTAATAGCAGCAAAATTGAGATTTGGAATATTACTTTAAAGAAATTACATATTTTTTAATTCAAGAGGAATTTAACCCTAGGAGTCTCTGATTCCCTTTCTGTGATTGCTGACTGGAATACCTGCTGCCCCTGCTTTTAACAGTGGGACCAACTACTCCTGGTGCTGGGCATCCATTCCACATTCCTCTCTCCTGGCACAGGAGCCCAGGTTCTGGTGCTTTGCTCAGAGGGCTATCTTTGTGAGCTTCCCATGCTCATCTCAGATAAGATGAGGTTATAAAAGCAGGGAACATTTCATAAAAGAGCAGCCCCCCAGGCACACTGGGTTGGTTTTGTTCTTGGACTGATGTGCAGGACCCTCAGTCCCACACACGACACACAGAGGCAAAGTGGTTCCACTGGTCACAGCTCTGCTGGGACACGCAGGGGGGAAATAGATTGAATTTCCAGCAGAGATTACCTTTTAAAGTCCTGTGCTGATTGAGACAGAAAGAAATGAAAATGAGCAGTGCCTGGCTGGCCTAGTTGAGGTGGAATTTGGAGTGTGTAGGAAGCCAGGGCAGTGGAAATGTTGTCTTTAGTGTGTGAATTCAGTCTCTGGAGGGCTTGCACCTGAGGAGCACCCTGAGCCTGCCTGCAGGTGAGTCACACCGATCCCCTGCCTGCCCCTGTGCTGTGGTTCTGTGTGTGGGTGTGCAGTGGAGATGGGGGAAAGGAAGGGTGAAAAGGGAATTGGAGACTCTGAATGGCCTGAATTTCCACTGGCTCTGTGGCTGAGCACCTGCAAATAAAGAGAAATCCCATTTTTTCTGGTGTGTGCATTTAAAAGCAACGTGAGCTTCCATTTCAGACTCTGTGACGTGGAAATAGTTCCTTCATGTTCAAACCAGGGAGGTCTTTTCCAAACTGAGGGATTCCATGATCTAATCCCAAAATGCAGGGAATGAGCCATATACAAAGTGACACCAAGAGGGGGAACTCTGGTGTCCAACAGCCCAAAACTTTGGCTCTGGGTCAGCACAGGGGGCTGGGACACCTCTGTACCCCTGGGAGAGGGGTGTGACATCCTTGAGGCTGTGCCACCAAGGGCACCTCGCTGGTCCCACTCACAAAAGAGAGCAGAAGGTGTGGGGAGAACCCCCCCAGCTCGGATAAAACATTCCTGGGGATTGCTGTTTCCCTGTCAGGACCCGTCCTGGGGACAGAGCCTGGAATTAGATCCGCTCCACGGCCTTTGTGTGACAGTGATTTCCCTGGAGCTCTGCTGTTCCCAGCCCATGTGATGTTCTGTGACGGCATCAGTTGGATGGTTCATTAAAGTACATCTGGGTATAGACTCGAATTTGTCCGTGGAGTCAGACAGTATCTGTGTGATCCCATTTTAAGGAGTAATAGTCTTAAGGAAGCACATTTTTAAGGGAGACAGATGTCTGGAAGCAGATGATTAATTCATGCTTAGTTTCCAAGCACTCATTTAACTTACAGGCTTTTTAAAGTGGATTCGTTAATTTAGTACTTCACATCTTAAACATTTATAGTCAAAATCCTATTTCAGTTAAAGATGTATTTGTCTAAAGTGATGCTTTTAAATTCAGTGAAGTTCTGCAAATGAACACTGCTGCGAGAACAGAATCTAAGAGTTGCAGAGTGCTGCAAGTCATGTTAGTTTGACTTTCTTATTTCCAGCACTATTAGCAGTTTTTTCAGTAAAATGAAAATTTAGTTTCATCTGAGTGGATCCTGTTGCAGTGCAGAGTTCAGCAGAAGGAGGGAACACAACTGAGTGCTAAATTTGGGTTAAGTTAGTGCAGATTTGGGTTGTAACTGGTGAGTCACTGGAGTTTCTTTAGATGTGTGCTGGGGTGGGCTCTGCAAGTCTGCTTGCCCAGAGTTGGTCCATCTAAAGCTGTTCCAAAGGTACCAGAGGTGGAAGTTTGATTTAAAATGTGTTCCAGGTTTCTTGTACTTTTCCATATCTGATTTCCAGACAGAGGTGAGGCCAAGTAAGGAAGGTGATCATTAATGTTTTTGGTTTTGTATTTGTTTTGTCTTGGGAGTAAGATGTTCAATATTTACAATATGCCTGGCTTTCTTAAGGTGAGGGGGCAGGTGCTGCTGAATTGATTTAAATAAATAGCAGTGGTATTCAACTGCACCCCAACGTTTCTCCTCTAGCTTGAGTGAGCCCCTCATTTGCATATCATTTGCATAAAACGAGGCTTTTGCATTAATCAGCTGGAGGGCTGAAGCACTTCTGTGAGGAAAGGCTGGGAGAGCTGGGATTGCTCAGCCTGGAGAAGTTTTGGGGTGACTGAATTGTGGCCTTGCAGGGCCTGAAGGGGCTACAGGAATGATGGAGAGAGACTGTTTACAGGGGATGGAGGGACAGGACACAGGGAATGGTTCCCACTGCCAGAGAACAGGGTTAGATGGGGTACTGGGAAGGAATTCTTCCCTGTGGGGTGGTGAGGGGCTGGGATGGAATTCCCAGAGCAGCTGTGGCTGCTCCATCCCTGGGAGTGTCCAGGGCCAGGTTGGGCAGGGCTTGGAACAAGCTGGGCTGGTGGAAGGTGTCCCTGCCCATGGCAGGGGTGGAATGGGAGGGGTCTGAAGGTCCTTCCCAACCCAAATCACTGTGATGATTCTGATTCCTAATCCTGGAAGATCATCCTTAGGAGTTTTGGGTTGATCTGTGGGTGGGCAGAGGTTGAGCCCACCTGGATGTGTGTTGGCTCCAGGCTCTGGCTGGAAGGTGACTGTTCCTAATTGGGTGCTCTCTGAAGTTAATTGGCAGTTCAAGCTGGAGTTGTGGGAACACTGGAGCCACGAGGCTGTTCTTGCAGGGGGATCCTTCCCAACCCAAACAGTGTGAGACTTCATCTTTCCGTGTCTCCCTGAAGCCAGTGTGTGCTTTCCTGAGATAAACCAAGATTTACTAATCAATATAGGTTTTAATTGGAAAGATAAATCCTCAGGAGCCTCCTTTGGCTCTGGTCTCCCCGCTCAGTGTCCATGCCAGGCACTGAGCCAGCCCTGCAGCAGGAATGCTGCTGGATGTGACAGCGGGAGCCGAGGGAAAAGGGATGAGCCACACATGTCCAGAAATCGGCTCTTTGATTTCCTTGCTGAAAAGCCCTTTTTTTTCACTCAAAAGATGTGTTTCCTTCACCAGTAATTCAGGGTCCAGAGCCAGATGAAATGGCTCCTCTCTGCCAGGGGTTTGGCAGCAGCTTCTGCTGCACGTGCTGGAGGTGCCAAGAGCTCAGCAGGGGGAACTCACACACACAGCAGCAGCTGAGTGCTGCTCTGAATGGAGGCTGGAGAAACGGGGAGCTCTGGGCAGCTGCTTTGAGCTGTGGAAGAAGATAAATTAGGCCAGAATTCTGAGTTGTTGGTCGGACACATCAAATGTATTTTTGTTTGTTTTTAAGTGGAAGAACTGGAATTGTGGGCAGTGGTGGCAGCTTTTTTTTTGATCTGTGCAGACCACAATCAATCTTGTTTGTGTTGAGACAAGATTTTCACCCCCTCCCCACCAGAACAAACCCTGGCTGCTCTCAGACAGTCAATTATCTAAATGGAGTTCTCTGTCATTATTAACAGATCCTCTCTTCATCTTCACTCCCAGCCTCAGATTTCTCCAAGCCCTTTCCCCACGTGTGAGACGAGGTGATTTCTATGCGCGGGCTGTGCCTTGAGCAGATGGATCTGACAGCAATGCCATATTCTCCCCCCAAAAATGACAGGATAATAAGTGAAGATCTTGTTAACTCGGCCGTGCTGCCACAAGCACGTGTTTACCGATATTTCCCAGCAAGGCAGGCTGGCTGGCAGGGCTTTGTTGCCAGCACTGAATGCACTGGCAGCTGCTTCCTCCTAACCTGAGAGAAATAAGGAAGAACAAAGAAACCCAGATCGTTGGAGAGCTTGCCAGCACCAATCCAGAATGTGATGGGGACTCTCAGAAGCTGAGGGAGCCCAGGGCTGCCCGTCTGATGTGAGTCTGATCCCCTGACAAAGGCAGCTCTTCAGCTCCTGAGCTGCCCAGAGTCACACAGCAAAGTCTGGGTTGGCACGAGCTGTGCATCTCTCCATGGGTTGGGAAAGACCTCCAAGACCATCCAGCCCAACCTGTGACCGATCCCCACCTTGTCACCAGCCCAGAGCACTGAGTGCCACGTCCAGCTGGGAAAAGGTTTGGGGTTTTTTGGCACTGGGCTGCCCACGTGGCCTCTGCATGTGGCAGCCCTGGCACGTGTCACTCTGCACTGGGGAATTTATTAAGTTGTCAACACTTACTACACCCCGATCAGCAGGGGGGGTTGCTGGTAGGGACACACAACTGCCCTGGCAGAGCATTCAGCATCTCCAGGAGCCAAGGCTGAGGGAGCTGTGCTGGGTGGCACAGGTGGAGTCTGGCAGAGATGTCTGGTGTCAGTGCCCTCCACCCGGGTGACACGTGTTTCTTGCTCTGTTCACACCCCGGGTGCAGGCAGAAGGAGCCACAGAGGGGTCGATATGTGGTGGCAGAGATGAGCTGTGTGTCAGGTGTGCAGGGACAGTCCTTTCCATGCTGGGTGTCCCTTCCTGCCCGGGATCCATCCCAGCTCCTGCTGCTCCGGGACAGCTGGCACAGTGAG